AGTCTGCCTGGGGTCAGCAGGTAGGTTTCATATGCCCCTGTGTTTCCTTCCAACAAGGATTCCGTAAGCCTCTACTCTACACACACCAGCTACCCGGGAGGATCTAGGCATAGACAGGACATGGGCAGGCCAGGCTTAATTTTCCAGAAACAAGGCATTAGAGGTCTGGGTCACTCATGAGAGGCACAATGTGCTCCTCTGTCTGTGCTGGGTAAGGTGCATTATAGGCCTCCCAAGGGAAATGGTGTCTGTGTGATCTTGAATGAGTGAAGAGATTCAGGGGGAACAGAGGGAAAGACAACTCAGCACAGTTGTTGAAGTGAAAAGTGTGTGTGGCCAGCATGAGCAGGCAGTCCCCAGGGACACAGTGTAGCAAGGAGAACAGAGCAGGAACAGACACTGAATAAAGAAGCCAAGATCAGTAGTAATAATTAGCCAAAGGTGCTTAACAGTAAGTCAAACTTGTTTTTATTTTGTTTATTTTGCTTTTGTTTTATTTTGTTTTTGTTTTTTTTTTTTTTGAGACAGGGTTTCTCTGTAGCCCTGGCTGTCCTGGAACTAGCTCTTGTAGACCAGGCTGGCCTTGAACTCAGAGATCCGCCTGCCTCTGCCTCCTGAGTGTTGGGGTTAAAGGCATGCGCCACCATCGCCTAGCTTTGCCTTTTTCTTAATCATGTATGTGTGATTGTGTGCATTCATATGTGTTCATATATGTTCACATATTTGTGTAAATGCATGTGGGACACAAAGTTGATATCAGGAGTCTTTCTCAGCCATATTCCACCTTGTTCACTTAGATGAGGTGTGGCTAGAATTTTCTTTGGGCTGCCAAGTAAAGACATGGAGACATATTATTAATTATGAATGCTTGACCTTAGCTTAAGCTTGTCCCACTATCTCTTTTAAAATAATTTAACCTGTTTCTATTCATCTACACTTTGCCTCAAGGCTTTTTACCTTTCTTTCATTCCATGTGTCCTACTTTTCCTTCTTCTTTGTCTGGCTAGCTGGTCCCTGGTCTGTCTGTCTATCTTTCTTTCTTTCTTTCTTTCTTTCTTTTCTTCTTCTGAGCCTAAATTTCTCCTCCTGTTGACTCTCCCTGCCAGGAAGTCCGACCTGTATCTCCTCCCTCACTATTGGCCATTCAGCTTTTTATTAAACCAATTAGGTGCCTTAGGCAGGCAAGGTAAAACAGCAACACATCTTTACATAGTTAAACAAATAGTCCACACTTGAGTCTATCACTTGAGCCAGAACTTGCCTATATGGCTAGTCTTGCTAACCAGTTTGTTCTGAAGATCCCCTGTCTCTTCCTATTCAGGTTGGAGTTCCAGGTGAGCAGCCATGCCACCTGGTGGCCCACCTGGCATTACTTGAGTTCTGAATATCTGAAGTCCGATCCTCTTGTTCACATGGCAGACACTCTATTCTCTGAGCCTTCTCTCAGCCTGGCCACGTCTCTCTCTTTTAAAATGAAATTACTAAAAGTAAATATTTCTAAAACATCAAGTGTGGTAGGAACTAGTTACGTTGTTCTTGTACTTTCCTGAAACTTTGGGCTTTCTTAATAATTCAGTAAAAACTTGTAAAATGTGTGTGTACTAGAGGAGGGTGGGTAGGAGTGAAGAGACTGAGAAGATAGAAAGCACTGGGTCCAGCGAGACTTGGCTGCAGTGCGTTCACATGTCAGCAAAATGAGCCACCCACAAAGGAAGGTGGAGCCAGCCACTGTGGTTCATGCCTAGAGTCCGCTGAGGTCAGAGGGTCACTTGAGACCTTGAGACTAGGAGTCAGAGACCAACCAAGACAGACAGACTGGCTTGCTGTAGCAATGTACAAGAAGAAAAAAGATTCAGGGGGATGTCTACAGAAATGTCTCTGCTGGGACTTTCCTTGGCAGAGTATGACCTGTTTTTGTTTTTTATTCTGAGACACTGTCTCTCCATATTGTTCTGGTTTGTCTTAAACTCCTAGGATCAAGTAATCCTCCTGCCTCAGCTCTAAAGTGCTGGAACCACAGGTATGCCAGCTGCAGCCTTGCTAAAGAATGTGTTCTAGTTCTCGCTAGTAAGATTTTCTATTGTGAATTAACCACTGGCTCTTTTGACTCAGCACAGCCACTAGTTCTTAGGTACTTTCAGCAGACCGTGTTTGTTGACCAACATGCAGTACCACCCAGAACCTTTCAAGACACAAGACCTGTTCTTTGCTGGAGGTGCCTCCACCAAGAGTCTTGAGGTTCCTGTTCATGGTGTTTGTAACATCAGTGTAAATCCTGTTTCGTACATTTCCGAGTCCATGCCCGTGAGTCAGTTTCTTCTTCAGATTTTCTGAGACAAAGGGATTTAGTATCACTCGTGAGCCTCAACTACCCACAGTGTAATTTTTTTTGTTTGTTTGTTTGACCCATAGTAGAGTTTCAGAACCCATGTCTCTCTCTTTCTGTATTTCCCAGCCTGACTTAGCAGCCAACGAGGCCCAGCTTCTGAGGAAGATCCAGTTGTTGTGCCTTATGGAGGTAAGAAGCACCCAGGGATCCCTGTCCGTCGTACTTGACAGGGCTCAGGAGCTCGCTAGGCCTGTGAGCTGGCCTGCCTCTCCTAAGTAGTTTTCTCCTCATGGCCCTGCTCTTAACTTGTGTCTTCCTTCTTGCCTCTGCTCATCTAAGTTTGAATTTGGATCTTAGGGTTTCTTGTTGTCACTGTTGTTTATTCCTTGTGGGGTGGGGTCAGAGACCAGCTCACAGCAGTCACTTCTCTCCTGAGTGTCAAACTGTGGGTTGTTAGGCTTGACAGCAAGCGCCTTTACCCCCTGGATCATCTCCCTGGCCTGTGAGTTTGTCTTAGACAGGCTCCATTAGACAACACTTCCTAAGTTGTCGCTGCCCATTGAGCCTGAAGCCACTGTCTCTGTGACACACCCTTTCTATCCATGTACTTTTCTGTTTTCTCTGATAGAATGTGAGCGTCTGGAAGGATTGCAGTGTGCATTTCCAGTTTCCTGAAGTGGTCCCTGTACAAGGTGGCCTCAACTACCTGGTCAAGGAATGCACATTTGTTCTTGTCAAACATTCCTTTACAGTTTGCTTTTTCCTTTAACTGTCTCTGAGCATTTACAACTTGTTTGTAGTAGACGCTAGGTTAGGAAAACTTGAGTACTTGTGTATGGGGCTAATAAGATGATCTGTATTTTCAGATCTTTTTTTTTTCTTAAGTCCAGGCTCTCATTATGTTACCCTGACCCCACCTGGAATTTGCTATGTAGACCAGACTGATCTTACAGAGATCTACATATCTCTGCCTTCTGAGTGTTGTGATTAAAGGCATATACAACCATGCCTACAGAACAACTTCCAACTTTTGACCAAAAAAAAAAAATCTTTAAAAACAATCTCTGACCACTTTTGCTTAGAAGAATGGTTTTGTTTTTCAGATGACTTTCACACGACCTGCCAACCACAGACAACTCACTTTTGAAGAAATTGCCAAAAGTGCCAAAATCACTGTGAACAAGGTATAGTTCTTGGACTTGGGGTATCAGCAGCAGAGCTGTCCAAGGCAGAAGTCTGGCCTTGGCGAGGACTGTGCTCCCGGCGTGTCTCATGTAAGCCCCTTTGCTCAGGTGGAGTTGCTGGTGATGAAGGCGCTCTCAGTGGGGCTGGTGAGAGGCAGCATAGACGAGGTGGACAAGCGGGTTCATATGACCTGGGTGCAGCCCCGTGTGCTGGACTTGCAGCAGGTAAGGGACTGAGCTCCTGCTCACCTTTGTGGACTTTGGTTATCCAGTGCTGTCTTAGTTTTATGTGAACAGAAGCCATTTAGGAAGAAGACACAAGGTAGTGCAAATGGGATTACTGCTGCAGAGACCCAGGTCATGCACACCCAGGGTCTGAACCCTGCATTTAGAGGCTTACTCTGACAACAGTGCTGACTGTGCCCGTGAGGCCTTCTAATCCCAAAATTGGTACTCTGATCAGACGTGTTCCTGGTTTGTGACTTAATCCCATATCCTTACTCATATTTTCTGGACATTTGATCCTGTGATTTCCTCCATTCCTTTCCTTTCATGTGAGTTTTTAGAGCGTCCTTGTGATAAGAATTGGCACGGTGACCTATCACACACCTCCCCCTTCAGCTCTATTGTCCTTAGTGTTACCCCGAGAAAGAACTAGGGATTTAGCACTACCACATAGGGCCTGTGCTCCCTTCTAGCCTGACACCCATGTGATCTGGTTTGTCTTTAGATCAAGGGGATGAAGGACCGCCTGGAGCTGTGGTGCACTGATGTGAAGAGCATGGAGATGCTGGTGGAACACCAGGCTCAAGACATCCTCACCTAGTGACCCAGTGTCCCACAGACCCTGCCTCACCTTGCAAGGCATTTCTGTGGCCCCTGAAACCATCAGCAGAGATCTGTATTGGATTGGCATGGAGTTTGGGATCCTGCTAGGAGTCAGAACTGTTCTTGCTATTAAAACAGAGATCTTTCATTGATGGGGTTTGTTTACTTGGAGAAGGCTCCTCTGTGGGGTGTTTTGTAACCTGCAAGGGGTGGGAGGGGGACCCCAGGCCTAGATGATGAGGAAGGGCAGGAATGGGAATGGGGACAGAGTAGTCTCCACCCAAATCCACTTGAGTGGTCCTTTTCCAGCGTGGTCTGAGAATGCTCCTATAATAAATGCCTTTGCTTTGATCTGCTGATGCTTCTGGTTTTGGACTTCGCTTCTTAGGCAGTCCTGTGCCTGAAGAAGCCAGCAGGTTGATAAGGATTAGCCTCACTCCTCCTCTACAATGCACAAGGAGGTTGTCATCAAGGAAGTGTGTGTGTGTGTGTGTGTGTGTGTGTGTGTGTGTGTGTGTGTGTGTGTGTGTGTTGTCAAACGGGAGGCATTCGATCTGTTCCGCAGCCCTTTTCAGGGCTTTCTCAGACACAGGCTTCCACACTCACCACCTGGCGTCACCGGGACACTGGACAGTCTAAGTAGCAAGCACAATCAAGCAGTAGGTAGATGGAAGAGTTTAATCTTTCAGGGCTCTGCCACTTCATGCTGTGGAGCTTTTCTTATAGCTCTCCAAGTGAGATAAGACCCATCCTGCAGGAACCAAGAGGCTGACGAATATGACCGTGATTCCCACAGCCTGCTCCTGTGGAAAGATAAACATGAATCCATAGACCATTAGAAGGTCTGGGCCTGGCCACTGGGCAGGGAAACTTCCCTGTCCTTGGAGCCCTGCAGTGTGGGCCTTCTGCCTCAGCTAGAAGCCTCCCCATGGCTAGAGATCACTGCCATTCCTTTCCCTCTCTCTCGGTAGGCCAGCCATAGTCCCCGTTTGCCTTCTGCATCTCTCAGCAGTGTTGTGAGCGTGCAGGCTCTGCTGCGTCAGTGAGCTTGGCAGCCTCAAGTCCTTGCAGGGGAGAATGACCTCAGACACCGGGAGAAACAGCCTTGGGCCCAAGAGCCCAAGATACTGCACAGCTACAGCAGCTGCCAGCAAGGCAAAGGTTCGCTTGGCCCCCTGATCACAGCCGAATGTTCCAGGGTGCTGTGCAGAATAGTAGAACAATTAAGGTTCCCGTTGTTGTAAACAAGCACAGGGCTTTTCCTGAAAGTCCCATTCAGAAGCAAACAGTGATGTCAGATACCTGCCCCACATGGGTGTCTAATGTGTGCAGCAGTGACCCCATTAGGGAACCCTGTGTTCTCAGTAGCTTTACTTAGCAAAACAGATTCTGAGGCATGAACGGCATGGCACTGAGTTTCCCTGCCAAACAAGGCTGGGGCTCTGAATTTGAGCAAATCTGGCATAGAATAGGAATCTTAGTTTGGACCATGTCATAGCTGTACGCCTGTGACCACATGGCCTGGTTCTTGGATTAATTCATACCTCAGACCGACACACTTCATATGTGGGACTCCATTGGGCATGCTGCCGTCTAGTTTCACCCTCAGAGCACCCTACCTTTTCCTGTAACAGTGGAGTACACACCCCGATCCAAGCCCTGCACCCACTTCAATTCTGTGCCCCCTAGTTCTGTCACTGTTGACCTTGGCCAAAGGTATGTGAGGCCTGAGGAAAGTCCCCACCCCGCCATTTGTAGCCCTTTGAGAGCCTGGCCACAAGCAGTGGTGCCAGAACTCCTCCTGGCATTCAGATCCTGATACCTAGCACCATAGTCACCCCCCCTTATCACCTCAATCTTCCCTGTTGCCCCGAAACCCAGGAAATGCTACCTTAGAAGTTACTCACCATAGCGGAAGTGGGGGCTTTGGCTACTTTGGCAGAGATATGGGCTTTGGGAACCACTGTAGACTTCACAGAAGCTTGGAGCAGCTTCAGGACAGGGGGGAGCCTTGGCATGATTCTCAGGTTTGCGCTCCTTCCTTGGCCCCAAAGAGGTACCCTGGGTGTCCGCTGCACGTCCTCTGCTCACTTAGGCCGTCAGGGCTTTTTATAGCTGGGCTGGGCAACTGCAGCTGTCTCCTGTCACAAGACTTGGCAGAGAGGATGCCTGTCAGTAGCTGGGCGAGAACCATCCTGCTCTGTGATCCTGCTGGGAGCCCCTCAAAATGTAAGGATATGGCATGGGCCCTTGTGAACAAGATTAACTTCTTTGCAGAAAAAGACCTTAATGGGATAGGAATTAAAATGCAAGAGGTGTGGCATACTTTAAAATAAACCTTAAATCTCGGGGTATCAGCCAGGCATGGTAGTGCACGTCTTTAATCCCAGAACTTGGGAGGCAGAGGCAGGTGGATCTCCAAGTTTAAGGTCAGCCTGGTCCACAGAGCAGGACACCCAGTGCTACACAGAGAAATCCTGTCTCAAAACAAGGCAGCAACAAAAGATTTTGGGAGCCGGGCGATGGTGGCGCACGCCTTTAATCCCAGCACTCGGGAGGCAGAGGCAGGCGGATCTCTGTGAGTTCGAGACCAGCCTGGTCTACAGAGCTAGTTCCAGGACAGGCTCCAAAGCCACAGAGAAACCCTGTCTCGAAAAACCAAAAGAAAAAAAAAAGATTTTGGGGTATCAGCCGAACAGTAACATACAGAACCTGTGTTGAAGTTGTGTGACATGTTCCTGGGTGAGCCACTGGCCTTGCTTTTCTCATGGTACACTGAACCAGCAGCCCTATTGTCCAGTCTATTCACTGGAGGTTGAGGCACCGCGGGGGAGTTTCTTCAGGGAGCCATATACCTCCAGCCCTATACCTCCACATGGTGAATGGCCTCACAGTCGTGTTGCAAAGGAGCAAAAGTAGAACAAAGAGCAGGCCACCTGCTGCATGCCAACTGTGGGCAGGAGCCATGTCTGTCCCCAGGCGGAGGAGGGGCAAGTCCCTCCTTTTACCCCACCTGCCGTCTGCCAATGCAAAGGGCCGTTTTCCAGCACTGTCTCAGCCTTGCTGGGCTTGGTTACTGGCCTTCCTCCCACCTCATTTAGTCTCTTCCTGACCTCCGGCTAACCCCAAGCTCTTCAGTCTCCATCCAATCTGTTCAGACTTCTAGCCCTGGACCAGTCTGGTGCAGCACTGCCAGCTTCTCAGTCATGATCTGGGATGGCTCTCCCCACCTCAGGGCCAAGTTCCGTGGCCCTCAAATGTTCTTCCCCAACAGCAGCCTCTAACGTCTGGAGTTCACACTCCGCTTCCAGCCCCCCCACCCCCCCATCCTCTGTAGCACCACATCCCCAAGAGATCGGCTCCCCATCTTCCCACAGTCTACCTTCAACCATCTCTACTTTGACCTCTGTACATTATCTCAGACAATTCTTGTAAAGCACTGCCTGTGCGCTACATTCTGCTCCGGGCTCAATGCACTCCCTCCTCCACAGCCCCCCAGGCCCGAGTGATGTACACAACACTGCCAACACACACCAGCGTCTTTCACGGGACCCTCTTTCCCCTGTTCTCACATGTCTGTTCAGGTCACGAGGTCGTTCACATGGCATCCTAGGTGTATCTTGCTCCACTGTGTGTTCCTCTGACTGAAGTAGAAGTATCCTGAGGGTAAGGACTCGGTGCCTAGAGCAGTTTCCGGCTTGGCAGATTTGTTCGGCCAGTGTCAGGCAACGGGGATGGATGGGTGAGTGATGGGTACTCAGCTGGGCAAGGAGATGTAAGGATGGAAGATGTGTCTGTGACGTGCCAGGCACTGAGCTAGATTGGGGATGCAAAACTGAGTCATCTTCAGGGAAAATGTCTCATTATCAGAAGGTACAGGATATTGTCACAGCTGAGCAAGGCCGCAGCTCAGTGTTTGTTCCTTGGTTGCTTTCAGACAGTATTGGTGTGAGCCCAAGCCCGAGATGGGACACACGGTCACTGAGTATTCAGCGACTCTGCTGTACCAGGAACTTACTTTTTATTCTTTTCCTGGAAACCACATTTGCTGTGTACTTGGGACTCCTCTGTAATCTCCACCTATAGGCCCAGTCCAGTCTTCAGCAAGGAGCCAAGTCCCGGGAGGTCAGAGGGAGGGCTTAGGTGGGGAGGTGTCCTGAATATTACTCCCACCAGCACTGGGCTCCAGATTCCAGCCTTAGGCTGCGGGTGGGAAATGGGGGTTCCTCCCTTCCTCTGGAGTAATCCCTTCCGCCTAAACCTTTAATTATAGGCTTGGGGTCCAGTCTTGGATAAGGTAGTGAACCTGGGCACTTTGTTCCGAGGCTCACTCTCTCAGTGATATTTCTTCTTCTTTTACAAATAAGACCTGTCCCTAACCTGTCATGGGCCAGCTTCTGGCAGAGGTCCCCATCTCTGCTACTGGGGCCTGGGCCATTTTCTGGCTGGCCTTTGGCAGGACCATCCTCAGCTCTCAAGACTGCCTTTGACCTGCCTCATACCACCCTTATCTGAGTGACTCCAAATTCTGTTAGCAAAGTCGAGACAACTGAATCTCTCCTGTTTTAGATCTGTCTGGTATTTTATTTTTTAAAGAGAAGTTGTTGGGACGCTAGGGCAGAGTGTTTCCATGTGACCCACCTCTTCCCTATTTACTAACACAGCAGTAGGTGTAAGGTCCAGGCCTTGATGCCCAATACCATAAAAGCGCCTCAAACAGGACATGAGGTAGAGAGGCCTACCACCCACCACAGCTTCAGGCTTCCCAGCATCTCTTAGCCTCACTGACGCCTCAGGGAGGGCAGGGTTGGAGCAGGTGGGCAATGCAAGGAGTTACAATCAAGAGAGTCCGCCCGCTCTCCTAGAGCCCAGGGGCCACACCAGCTATAACCCTCCACTCCCTTCCCACACTTCCCTAGACTTTGTGACCTTCCAGAACTTTCCAGGCACAATCCAACCCTCTTTATTCCTCCACTGAAGTAGTCTCTATCCTGCTACTCCCGTAGGGAAGTGGTTATCCCTCCTTCCTGGTCTACCTTTTAATTAAAGGAAACAGTGTTACCAGAAGGGGAAGACAGCCGAGTGCAGTATAGGATAGAGATGAAGGCTCTGTAGAGCTGCCAAGAAAACAGGCGTTGAGAAGTCTCGGTACAGGCCAGCTAACCTGGCTTGGCCTGAACATGAGTGTCTCTCCGGGTGTCCTGGTGGACAAGCCACCCTTCTGCTCAAGTCTTTAGTCAGCGTTCAAACACACAACCTAAGCCCTGGTCCTGTCCTTGCGTTCAGAAGTGTGAGAAGACCTCCGGTGGTGAAACTGAAGGTCACCTCTGCCTGCAGGACTGCTGGCTGCTGGCGATCTGAGTTGATAAGGGTGGACATAGGGCACCACCCTGTGTCCAGACTTAGAAGTGCAGGAGCTGCTGGGGAACTTAGCAGAGAATGAGCTAGTGGTGTTCCCTGAGCTGTCAAAGGGATGCTTTATTGACCAGAGGCCACTGATAGGACCCTTCCCGTGAGCTTTACATTGGGCTTCTATTTATAGCTCATTAAACAGGTTCCCAGGGTGTGGTTTCTGAGCCAGCAGCACCTGGAAACCAGCTCGAGGGGATTCTTGTACTCTGGGACACACCAGCTTTGGACAGAGCAGGCTGGAGGCATTTAGAGCAGATAGATTTGCTATGGGTCTGGAGGTTTGTTGCACATTTCTCATCACCATTTTCATGTCACAGAAAAAAAATGGGATGATTTGGGCTGGAGAGATGGCTCAGTGGTTAGAAACACTTGCTGCGCAACCACAAGTAGTGGGGTTCAGATCCCATGTAAGAAGCCTCGCATCCCACGATTGCCTGTAACTCCAGTTGAAAGGGGTCCAAAGTCATCTCCCGGCCTCTGTGTATGCACAGCGACCCACAGAATGGGTGCCCACACATACACAGCAAAGGACACGTGGAGGCATACACTTAAGTACATAATTAAAAACAAATAAGAACTTGGTGTTTCACACTTATTGATAACAAATCAGCCATGTTCAGAAATATTAAAGGCTTGCCCAGGTGAGACTCAGTCTTTTCCTTTATCTTCAAAGTCATTATCCCACTGAATGCTTGACATATTTGCTGAAATTACAGAAAACAGATGAGAGATCTTAGGGTGTAGCTTTTTGGGGCTGTGCATGTGTGTAGCTTTTTGGGGCTGTGCATGTGTGCGTGTGTGTGTGTGAGTGTGTGTGTGAGCGTGTGTGTGAGTGCATGTGTGTGTGTGTGTGTGTGTGTGTGTGTGTGTGTGTGTGATGCTGCTCTAGAAGGGACGGATGCTGAGCTAATAACCTCAGAATGAGGGAGACCACTTTGGCCTCAAAGAAGATTAACCTCAGAGCTCAGAGCACCGTCCCTGCTGCGTCGGAACAAGATCACAGAGAGAAATCCCTAACAAGCCCTGGCTGCAGTCTCTCTTCGGGTGATGAGGCCACTGTTTCTACTCATTCATGAACAGGCTCAGACCCTCAAATGTTTGAATCTTGGTAACCCATGCTGCCTTGCGTGGACAGCAAGTCTCGAAATGACAATCCACGGTGTTTAGAATCACCATAGAAACATACTCCGGGTTTGTCTATGAGGATTGTGGTGGGGCTTTTGTTTGTTTGTTTGTTTGTTTTGTTTTTTGTTTAAAGAAAATGGCTCCCAAAGGGAGTGGCACTATTAAGAGGTGTGGCTTTGTTGGAGGAAGTGTATCACTGTGGAGGTGTGCTTTGGGGTCTCATATATGCTCAAGCTACGCTCAATGTGACACTCAGACCACTTCCTGTTGTCTACAAGGTGTAGAACTCTCAGCTGCTTCTCCAGCACCATGTCTGCATGTGAACCACTATGCCCTATCATGATGATAATGGACTGCACCTCTGAAATGTAAGCCACCCCAATTAAATGTTTTCCTTTATAAGAGTTGCCATGAGCATGGTGTCTCTTCACAGCAATAGAAGCCCTAAGACATGGATGATTCCAGAAGGGTTTGAGTGAAGAGGAAGACCTACCTTGTATATGGGCAGCACCATCCCTTATGCTGGAACCCCTGACTGAAGGAGGAGGGACCAGCTGAGCGCCAGCATTCTTCTCTCTCTGCTTCCTGACTGGATTTAATATAACCAGCTGCCTCATGCTCTTGTTGCCATGCCTCCCCACTGTGATGGACTGCACCTTCAAACTGTGAGCCCAAACAAGCACATGCTTCCCTAAGTTGTTTTTATCGGACATTGTCAACTCAACAAGAAAAGTGACTAATACCCTCAGCAAAGTCAAATGTTCACCCAGCCATCCATCCAGATAGGAGCCTGACCTGATGCAACGTGAACAACCAAGGCGCCATGCAATTGAAGAACCAGCTGAAAACTCATACAGGAACCCCCACCATAGAATGAGCCTTCACGGGGTGGGGGTGCATCATCAACGGTTGAGTGCTTTCATATCAGAAGCCCCGAATTTCATCCCCAGCACTACATAAACCTAGCATAGTGATAGTCATCCCAATATTAGGGAGGTATAGTCAGGAGGACCGTAGGTTCAAGGCCTTCCTCAGTTACACAGAGAGCACAAAGCCAGCCTAGAGTGCATGAGATCCTGTTTGGAAAATAGTAAACATAACCAGCAAGATGGGTCAGCCTAGTGACCTGAGTTCAGTCCCTACCACCCACAGGGTAGAAGGAGGACACAGACTCCACAACTATTCTCTGACCTCCACAGAAAGGCTATGGCTTGTGACCCCCCCACCATTAAATAAATAACTTTTAAAAATTAAAATCAAACATTAAAAAGTTAAAAAAAAAAAAACAGGTGGTAGTGGTGGTGCATTCGCCTTTAATTCCAGCACTCAGGAGGCAGAGGTTGGAGGGTCTCTGGGTTCAAGGCCAGCCCTATCTACAGAGTGAGTTCAAGCCAGGGGCACATAAAGAAACCTTGTCTTAAAAAAAAAAAAAAGAGTTAAAATGAAAAATTTTAAAAAGCTCTTAGACTCTGTAGTTTCCCTCTACTGCTGAAGTGTGTTTTAGGAACTGGCACTGACAGCCTTCTTCTGTCTCTGGAGAGTTTATTTACTCTCCAGATCGCTAGTCCAACAGGGTCGTGCATCCATGCTTTGATCTCCTTCAGGGGGAGGCAAGCTGACTCGAGCTCTCTTGACAGGGATTTGCCCTATGGACCTGGCTGCAGAGTTCCAAAACCCCCGGTGTTTTGTTAATGTATAATGGTTAACTTTATGTGTCAATTTGGCTGGACTCTGAAATCCAGCTACTTGGTCAAACACTGTTCTAGATGGCTCTTCGAGACTGTTTTTGTGGTGACAATAACAGGCAAGCAGGGTGGACTTTGGTGACGCAAATGACCTTACATAGTATGAACGAGCCTTGTGGTCAGTTGAAGGCATTAAAAAAAATCCAAAATCTGACTTACCTTGAGCAAGAAAGCTATGAATTAGAACAGGGTTTTCCTGCAGTTAGCCATTTGTGCAGGCCAAAGTGCAGACACGTTGAATCTTCTAAGGAATGACTGTATTTATCAGCATTAAATAATATATATGAATAAGAAATTAAGTGTTTTAGGAGCTTAATATGAACCATAACTAACACTTTACCCCATGCTGTGCAGAGTGCCGTCCTGAAAGCCCAGCAATGCAGAAAGCAAGCAAGGAAAAAAAATTACATGGTGTGATGATTCATTTTATGTGTTAGACATTCATTCAAGCATTATTATTCTAAGGATGTCCATGAGATATCTTTGGATAAGATTAATATCTAACTCAGCAAAACATGGGCAGCTGACAGAGCATCAGAAATATCAGATGTAAGAAGTGACGACTGCAAGGGAATACTCTGAAGTTAACGAATCTACAAATGCTCGCATTCCTGAACTCTAAAAACTGTGGCTTCTACCAAATGCTAGTGTCCCCAGATTACACCTTGGCTTTAGTGAGCGCAATGCTAAGAAAATTCTAAAAGACTGAGGCAGGCCTAACATGGACAGAATTAGACCAACAAATAAATAAATATAAATATATATGTATATATACATAAATATATATTTGGGGGTTCATATTAAGCTCCTAAAATACTTAATTTCTTATTTCAGATGTATTATTTAATGCTGACAAATACAGTCACTCCTTATAAGACTCCACGTGTCTGCATTTTGGCCTGCAGAAATGGCTACATGGATAGGAGCCCTTGTTGCTCTTACAGAGGACTCAGGTTGCATATGCAGCACCCTCACAGTGGCTCACAACCACCTGCAACTCTAGTTCCAGAAGATCTGGCCTCTGGTGGGCAGCCAGTACACATGTGATACACGTATATACATAGAGGCCAAACAGTCATGCTCATAAATAAATCATATTTTTTAAAAAGTCTTTTAATTTAAAATGTCGCTCTCAGTTTTATGCTTGCAGTTCAAGATATAAGCGCTCAGCCTCTTGCTTCTGCCACCATTCCAGCCAGTCTTGCCCTTGCTTCCCGGCTGTAAGGCCAAATAAACTTTTCTATTAAACAACAACCAAAATTAAATGTCTCGAGGGCGAATCTGTCCCTTGACTGTTGGAACCACTAGGCTCACCTGTGCAACAACACAGCCTGTGCTGCTACTGCCCACCGGGGACTGCGCCTGTGTGCAAAACAAAACAGAGGAGCAGCGGGGGTGGGGAGAGCCGAGAGCCGCGGGAACTGCACACCAGCATCTTAGAAGCCGCGTGGCTAGGGAGGGGAAGAGTTGAGAAGAGGTAATGGGACAACCGCTTTTACAAGCTTATTCTGCCTAAGTGTTAGCTGAGGCATGAGCCGAGGCAGAGTCAGGAGGTGCCGAGAGTCTGTTTGGAGAACAGAATCAATAGGATGATATCTCTAAGAAGGAAAAGAAATCCACCACTTGCCCCAAGTACCTAGGACAACATCTAGAAAAATACCTAGAAACAGCCTGTCCCTGACTGCAACCTAGGAGTTCTCCTTTGTGACCTGCAGGTGGAGCTGTCGGACTGTTATCCTGGCCAGAACCGAGTACTGCGCTTCACCTTGGAGATAACAAGTGGAGCTTCAGGGTGCGGGCAGGCTTCAGAGACCTGAGTTCAGAGCGCAGAAATGAGTACTCAAAGTGCCAGGATCTGCAGGACGCTGCAAATTGCAAGGTGTAGGGTGCAGAACCTGATATAAACCTACTGATAAATCTATGAACCTGGGATTATGGCAGCTACAGGTCTTTGCGGTAATGGTGACTACAGGGCTCTTTGTAGACAGAGGAACCACTGTACGAAAGCTGGAGGAATAGATAGAGGTGCAGAAGCAGATACAATTACAGAAAGTGGA